GCTTTACACAATTGATGTGTGTATGGATTGGGATAACAGTTGTATGAGCCCCTAATAAAATGTTAAAAAAGAAAAAGAAAAAAAAAAAAAAGTACAGCCAGGAAAACAAAAGAAAGTGTAACCAGATGGTCCTTAGAAGGGAGGATGGCAAGACCAGCATCGCACGGACTAGGACGCGCTGTCAGGAGACCAGTTCTTGGAGGAGAACATCGTGCCTGGTCAAGCAGAGGGGCAGGGGCAAAAGAGGAAGGCCCTCGACGTGGGGTCACAGGGGCTGCAAGGATGGGCTGCAAGATGCCAGTGACTTCCGGTAGCATGGCACTGACGGGGACTGTGTGTCATCGTGCTGCACAGAGGGTGGCTCGCTGTGAGTCAGAACCAACAGGATAAACCTAACAACAACACACCCACCGTGATGGACGGAGGCATGGTGGCACCGTGGGCACTGGGGTCAGAGGTTCAAACCCCATAGCTGCTTTGACCGAGAACGCTGAAGCGTTTAACTCTCAAAAACCCGATATTGGCTCACTGTGCATCAGAGTTGAGTAGTCGGCAGTTGTGGGACAGAACTCTGGTGTTTCAATGGTTAATTGCTGGGCTGCTAACCAAAACACTGACACACTGACGTGGCTCTGCGGGAGACAGGCCTTGCAATCTGCTTCTGTAAAGATTACAGCCATGAAAGCCCTGTGGGGCAGTTCGACCCCATCACATGCCAGTCACTGTGAATCGAAAATCAATCCCATCAAAAATCCATTCCATGATGACCAGCAATCACAACCCCGTGCTCATGGATAGGAAGACAATACTGTAAAGATGTGTAGAAGGTTCATAAGAAACGAGTGAATGAGCACTCATCACCATGGACAGCTCTCAAAACCATACTGATGAGAAGGAGAAGCCAGCGATGGGCAGCATGTACACTGATAGCACTGAGGGCATATTCAAAAATATAAAATTGGATGACAAAGCAAATGAAGCAAATTTGACATCACGACACAGCACACGGGTCTTCTGACTGACTTACGTAGCATAAGCATACAAGTTCATGATATTTTTCTTCCTATCCTACTTGTTGCGGTCCGATTGATTCCAGATTCCAGAAACCTGGTGTGTTTCAGAGTGGAATTAGACGCCATGGGGTTTTGAAGGGTGGAGATTACTACCTACCTTTCTTCCCCAGAGCCTCCTCCTCACACCCAGGTTGGCCATGGCAACCCTATAGGCCGAGTAAAAGTGCTCCTTTGGGGGTTCCAAGACTATAAATCTTTAGGGGCACAGACAGCCTCACCTTTCTCCCTAGGAGTAGTGGATGGGTTGAACGCTGACCTTTGGCCTAGCAGCCTCACGAGTAACCTAGGGCTCCTTATGGGACCTGCTAGGTGGATCCAAACTGAATACCTACCTGTTAGTAATCTAGTCTAGTTTGTGCCAACCAGGACCTTACACCTTCAGACTATAGGATCTTTTTAGCTTTTTTTTGGAGTGTAAACACATATACAGGGCGGTGCACCAGTTGAATACACCCAGATAAAGACTAGATCATTACCAGCATCCATAGGGCCCCCTCCTGCTCCTTACCAGTTGCTATCCCCACCCAGATGAACCACCATCCTCATTTATAACCCCATGCCTAGTTTTGTCTTCTTTTTTTTTTTTAAGGAGGAGACAGCACAGCAGGTTATTAAACAGTAAAGTCAGGATATGCTGGGGACAGACCCCCAGCGTTCTGCACTACCAAAAGGGTGGGAACAGTGAGCCCCTACCTGGAGTTGGCAGGTCCTTTTGATAGGTCCTTGAGCTCTGGGCTGGGGTTTTTCCAAAATAAGGTGGTTATCCCTGACTGGCTGGTGTCAGAGGAAACCAACCACCAACAACCGAAAAGCCAGTAGGCACAGTTGTACGGTGACAATAGATAAAGATTATAGTAAAGTCGTAGAGGATAGGAGAGATAGGAGAGAGAGTACAATAAGGGAGTCAGACACATTTTATGGTAGCATGCTCACCTCAGCTCCTGGGAGAGGAGAGAGTGAACCTTTACTATCTTGGGACATTTATAGGTAGCCATGAGACATGCATATTCAGTAGTTACATACGTCTCGAGGTGGGTGATATCTACAGTAAGGTCCCCGAGCTCACAGGTGAGGAACCCTAATACCTGCATTGGGGGAAGGTATGAGGGGGGCGGGGTGACAAGGGATGTCTGCTTTTATAGGGAGACCACATCAATCATGTGCTCACTTTAAGGCAGCATAGCTGTTAGGGGAGAGTCTGTGGGAACGATACTTAAAGCAGGATAATGTACTTGGACTTTATCTCTAGCTTACCGATGTGGAGGCTTTCCTACCGTGGAACACCCGCTTTCCAGATTCCCTCTGTGATCAGTTAGGGAATACAGTCCTCGTCATATTTCCCTGGAATTTAGTTTTGCCTTTTTTTTTTTCACTCTCATTAAGTTTATGAAGTTCAATTTGTGTGTCATTGTGGTTTCTCCAGTCTCGTTTACTGTCCACGGGGCAGTTATTTATCCATTATACAGTTGTGCATAATTTTAAAAACATTTTTACGGTGGTAAATGCTCATATATAAGCAATAACATATGTCAACAGTCTGCACGTAGATGGTTCAATGGCATTAAATATGTGCGCCATTGCCGTTCATGCTTACCGAAATTCTTTTTTTTTTTGCTTAACAAATTTTTCCATCATCCTTAGCAGAAGCTCAGTGCCTCCACAGTATTGTAGCTTCCTTTCCTCCTCTTTTCTGCCTGACCCAGTGTGTTAGTCCAGGTAGACTAGAGAAACAAAGACATTCAGAGACACTCATATGTGTATAAGAAAGAGCATTATGTAAAAGAGCAACTGTATATTGAGAAAACATCCCAGCCCAGTCCAGATCAAGTCCATAAGTCCCATATTAGCCCATAAGTCCAATACTAGTGCATAAATTCCTCTTGAGCCTCATGCAGCACATGCAATGATGCCAAATTCAGGAAGATCAGAGGCCAGTGAGTAGAAGGTCTTGTGGAGCCAGTGGCAGTGGAAGTATCTCAACGCTGGTGTGGGTCTCCACGTGGCTCCTGCAGCTCCAAGGCTCTGGCTGCATCAGCGTAGCTCCATGTGGCTTGTCAACGGGAATGTCCCACAGGGAGACGAAGCAAAGAGAGTGTGTCTGCCTTCCAGTGAGCGCTTTCTCTCCATCGCGCCTCCAAATGAGGTCATCAAGCTGTGACTTGATTGACAGGCGGGACTCCACGCCTTCACTCAAGTTGACAGGAGATGATGTAACTGCCATGCCAGTAACGTGAATAAACATTGATCTCCAGCCATTTGCCTAGCGTAGGCATTTCATGCAGATGGGCTCCTATAATATTTGTTCTTTTGTGACTTATTGCATTCAGCATAATGTTTTCAAGGCATTCATTGTGTCTTTTGTATGGGCGGAATGCTTAATCAAGAAGGATTTAACGAAAAGAATCATTTTTTAAATAAATAAGTAGACTTGAAAAATGAATAACACAGACCAGAACTGGGTGGTGCCCAGCCACCACGACTAACTGCCCATGGGAGGGATCCTGGGCCCTGGATCGAGTGGGAGAACGACGTGGACAGAAGTCAAAGTCATTTAGAAAACCAGGCTGACTGGTTGCATAGACACAATGGCCTTTTCAGTGACCTGTCAGGCCCGGAACTCAACGTATGGCTCAATTTTCAGCCGAACAACAGAGAGGTCTACAAAATGAACAATAACACGACAGAGGCCTACACTCCGCAGAATGAGCAGCCATTGGAGGTCACAAGGGAGACATTTGCCCAGGGACCAAATGCAGGAGGCAGGAAAGGGTAGGAAAGAGTACTAAACAAATACCACAGGACCAAGAGCTAGAACTGAGTGAAGATCTGCCTGAGAGAGTCCTGCCTGGGGCGGAGGGGACGAATCTGTGACTGCTTCAAGCCCAGCTATCCCCTCAGGTCATAGCTCACACTTGACCCATCAGGACTTCAGGAGAGTTCTATGCTGTACAAGCCATTCCAAACCATTTACGCAGTGCTTTTGAAAGGGTGCCCAGCCTTGTGTGGCACCTGATGCAGACCAATGTGGTCCCTCCGAAGAGTGACCACAGAATGAACTTCCAGAGGTGGACAGCTGTGGCCCTTCGTGTAGGCTCCTTAGCCTGCAGGGTCTTTGATCTGAGTCCCTTAGCTGAAAGGAGCCTGGGGGTTACAAGTCATTTTCAAAGCAGCCCATCCGGGTCCTCCTTCTTGACCCCCTCAGGACCCACAGCTGAACTTTATCTCCTCGGCCGGCCTTCCCATCCCCTCCAGAGGCCCATGCCACTCCGGGTGAGGGCGTGCAGGCCTTTTATCTGAACTGTTTCCTCCCTGGGGACACCAAGTCCCAGGGCAAGAGACCTTGGCAGACGCTCCGAGCCCATGGACGCTCTGCTCCTCTTCCTGGTGCTCCTGTGCCGGTGCCCTCAGGCTGCTGCAGAGTTAGGAGGTGAGGAATTCTCCAGCCATTCCAGAGACCAGGGAGGGACAGCAGCTCTTAGGAAGATAGATTTACCCCCAACTAACCTTTTCCCTCCAATATTAGAAAGGTCCAGAGACTGGGAGGCTCAGGCCACAGAGCTTCTTGGAGAAAGGGAGAGCTGGGATGAGGGAATGCTTCCAGAAAAGGAGAGAGGAGAAGGAGAAGGGTTGGCCATGGGCCACATTCTAGCCGTTCCCCTTTTGTGCCTGGATCCTTTTAGTGACCAAGGACTTGGGATGGAGGGGCGGGGAGGGGGGTGCAGCTTAACCTCTTCTCTCCACTGGTGGCAGCCATGCTCTGTAGCTGCCTTTGGAGAAACGTGTTCACCAGCCCAGGCTATCGTTGGGGGATCCCTACCAGGAGAAGACAGCAGGGGCTGGAGGTGCAACGGCAGGCTGCTGACCCTGGGGGAGACTCGAGTCTGACACAGCCCTCTCTCTCCCCACAGACACCATCCAGGCCGTCTCCGGGGCCGTGAGGGAGGCGGTGGAGCTGCCATGTCCCTCGCCACGCACCCTGCATGGGGATGAACATCTGTCCTGGTTCCGCAACTCTGGAGCAGGCTCCCCGACAGTCCTGGTGGCCCAAGCCCCAATGGTCAGACCAGCCCCGCATGCTGGGAAGTCCGGAAGGGAGTCCAGGCCCAAGCTGTTGGGGAATCACTCTCTGTGGCTGGAGGGCATCACAGAGGGGGATGCTGGGCGGTACTGGTGTGCCGTGATGGGCCAGCACTACAATTACCAGAACTGGAGGGTGTACGACCTTTCTGTGCTCAGAGGCAAGTGGGGGCTAGCAAACCTGGGGTACCAGGCTTGGGAGGGGCCACACAGGCAAAAAACTCAGGGCTCTCCTATCTCCTCACAGGCTCCCAGTTATCTGCAAGGGCTGCAGATGGAACCCCCTGCTCTGTCCTCTTGTGCTCTGTGATCCCCCCGAGACGGCTGGATTCTGTGACTTGGCTGGAGGGGAAGGGCACTGTGAGGGGCCAGGTACAGTTCTTCTGGGGTGAGGGCTCTGCCTTGCTCTTGGTGTGTCGTGGAGAGGGGCTTCCTGAGCCCCGGAGCAGCCGCAGACCAAGGATCATCCGCTGCATCGAGTCTCAGAACAAAGGGGTCAGCTTCAGCCTGGCAGGTAAGCTGGCAGAGGAGATGGGAAGGGATGGCGGTCCTCGGCCGCCCAGCCTCTGCAGAACAGGCTGTTGCCTGGAGCAGGGAGTCTTGAGTAATATGATTTGAGAGAAAAGGGGGGGCGGGGAAGAATTATTGCTAGGGAGTTGTCTATTCTTTTTCTTTCTTTCTTTTTTTAAAAAAAATCATTTTATTAGGGGCTGATACAACTCGTATCGCAATCCATCCATACATCAGTTGGGTCAAGCACATTTGTACATTCATTGCCCTCATCATTCTCAAAACATTTGCTCTCCACTTAAGCCCCTGGCATCAGCTCCTCATTTTTCCCCTCCCTCCCCGCTCCCCCCTGGGAGTTGTCTTTTCAAGAAAGGACATTGCACCGGTATTAGAATGGCTCATTGTGAGTGAAAGCAGAAGGAGAAAAAAACCCATATCATTGTTTTACAATAAAAAGTCTGTTGTACAGTGAAGGAATGCCCTAGGGTGCAGAATCACCCATTTAAAGGGCCAGAGACAGAAGCACAAGGCCTTGACGTCAGCAAGCAGAAGCCCCCGCATGGGCAGGGATTGGATCTTTCCACCTTCCCCCCATCCAGGAGCTGGGCCTCCTTCTGTCTTGCCTCCCGGTGTCTGGCGCGTTGGAGCGATGCTCAGTCACCGCTTGTGGAGTGCGTGTTGAGAAGAACGAGTCAACGAAGCAGTCCTTCTGTGTTTCTGCTTAAAAGGGTGGTTCACAATGAACCAGAATGCCAACCTCGGTGCCGTAGGGTTAGAGCAACCCTATGGGACTGGGCAGGACTGACCCTGTGACTTTTCAAGACCGTAACTCTTGAAAGCCCCATCTTTCTCCCGGGGTTCACTATGAAAGGATGAGACAAGCAGTAAAAGCCGTCTCATGTGGAGGACGGCTCATGCCAGCAGGGGGAGAAGCCCGGCCTGGACCGTGTTGGGGCAGGGCAGCTCACGCCGTCTTCTGTTGGGAGCCCACTAGACTGTGGCGGAAGCCTCTCTTTGGGGAGCACTGTGGTAGACATTCCCCCCGACACACAGACACACACATACCCTGCCTCTGTCTACCCCTCTTGTCTTTCCTTACTACAGCCCCTGTGGATGTCTCTCCGGCGCCCTGTGCCCCCTCCACAGGCTGGGACCTGCCCTGGATGCTAATGCTGATGCTGGTGGCTGGCCAGGGCCTGGCCATCCTTGCCCTCAGCATTGTGCTCTGGAGGCGCAGAGCCCTGGGGGCTCCCAGCAGAGGTGGGTCCCTCCCTCCCAGAGAGTGTGGGCGTGAGCTCCCACACCTCACCTTGGTTGCCTCTTCTGTGGGGGCGGGGGTGACCCGCCATCCAGTTGCGGGCTATCTGGTAACGTGTCTCTTTCCTATCCTGTGTGATTTCTTCTCGCCAGCTGCCGCCACGCCTCAGTTCAAACCCGAGATCCAGGTCTATGAGAACACCCATCTGGCCTGTTTTGGGTGAGTCAAAAATAGGGTTCAAAGGTCTAAATCCCAGCAGGAACTGGGAGTGGGAGCGGGTCCTGGCTCCTGAGAGGGTAAAAATGGGAGTATTCTTTTTCTCTCTTTTTTAAGAGTTAATTTTTTTTTAATTCACTTAATTGTTGCGGGGTGGCGGTGGGAGGCCAAGGAAAAGCACACAGCCGAACGTACTCCATTCAGTTCTAGGAGCTACACGACACAGGTCAGGGACCTTGCTGCTCCGGCCAGCCGGGCAGCCCTTCTTGCCCTCTCCTCCAAACGGGTCCTCCTCCACTGGCATGACCCACTGCCCCTCAGCTCCTCATCCAATCTTTCAAGCGACTGATGTAAATTTGATCCCGTATAAATGGTTCTTTAAAAGAGCACTTTGCTCAAAGCAGTCTTTAAACGATGACTATTTTAATTTACAGAAGATGTCAGGGGAGATGTTTCATAGGTTTAAGGGTGATCTCGGGGCAATCGTTTGGGGGATCTGTGCAGCCTTGGGGGCTCCAGAAAGCCGGGCTTCCATGAGCATTAGGAGTTCTTGTTTGCATGTCCCCCTTTGTACTAAGCTGCTTTGTTGGAAGACCGACCGACCGGGGATGCCTTCTTAACCTGGGTCTCTGTTTCACAAACTCCACAGCCTGCCTGCCCCCAAGACCAGGTGACCCAGGGACGTCTGGGGCTGGAAAGTGCGACCTGCTTTTCCCAGGCCATCTGGCACACCAAGGATGCCGTGGGGGGCCAGGGGGGCTGAGCATGGACCTCCTCATCAGAGTCCCCTGTCAAGTTGTGGTGGGAAGAGGCTGAAGGAAAAGAGGAATGCTATTCCGTGATGGCATCTGGGAGAGGTGTGGTCTGTCTGTGCGGCAGCCAGCCCCAGAATGGGGGTGATTAAGGGGAACCTGGAGCTGGGGTGGGTGGGGAGGACCGGGGTTGACAGAGATGTGGGGGGACGGACCGGGACACCAAAGGACAAATGAGGCAGGAGAGATTCAAGTCAGGCGCAGAGGAGAGGTTCAAAGTGATGGAGGGAAATCAGAGGGAAAGTGGGAGGGCTGGGGGGCAGAAAGAAAACTACACTTGGCCCCGGATTAAGCTAGGCATTCCCTCCTCCCAGTAGGAACGGAAGCCCTTGAAAGAGGAAACCAGAGTCTTTAATTAGGTCTCAGGCTTCCTCGTTGAAGGGGAGGAAACTGAGCCTGGTGGGGGGCTCCCTCTCAGGAACCCTCCTTATCCCGGGCACACACACACTCCTCTCCTTGGTGCGGGCCCCCAGGAACCGCTTATCACTCTGACACACACAGCGCTGCCGGGTCCGCTGCCCCTGGACTGAGGGAGTGTCCCCACGACTGGCCGGCGGGCGGGATGGGCAGGCAAGAGCCCTCGTGGAACTCCAGGTGGGGCATGTCATCTGGCCCAAGCGTTCGTTCATTGTCACCTGTCACAGCAAACTGTGGGCCAGTCTGGGCAAGGCTTTTGAGGGGAGGGCCTGGATTAGTCCCAATTTGGCCAGGCCCAGGTCCTCAGCAGAAAGGATCGAGTGCAGGCCACACCCGCCCGCACCCTCACATTCACCAGGCCTCCCCTGCGCCTGGGCTCTCTCTGTACCTTGTTGGAGAAAAGCCTTCCTGGGAACCTTGCCACATGCCTTTGGGCTGCGGTGGCTTAAGCTAAGCTATTGACAAGAGGGAGGACGCCGATGAGGCAGATGGAGAATGGGGTGAAAGTTCTGGTTCAGATTCCAGCACCCTAGCCCAGCTTACCCCGCAGCATGTAGACAGACCCACAGAGAGAGCTGGTGTGTACACAGACACACACACACAGAGTGTTGCTGGAATACCAGAGAGCCGCGTTTATTCAATTAAATGAACTCCCCAAAACCTTCTTCCAGAGCTCCTGCTCTAAAAATGCATCTCTCCTAGCAAGATGCCCCTCCTCCCCGTGCCTGGTACCCCCCAACTCCCCAGTCCTCTTGCCCGGGAGCCTGAAATGCCTGCCTTGCTAGAGACAGGGGTCGAAGATGGGGCATCAACTGTGGACAGGAGGGGGTGCCCGGCAGGTGTTGTTGGTGAGACTGTGCTCCCTAGAGGCGGGACCCTCTTCAGCGGAGTCTGGAGGTGGCGAGTTCTACAGCAGGTCTCCTTTCAAACTCAGCTTCTTGGGCACATCTAAAAGAGTCTATGCATCCTGGGCTGCGGGCTGCCAGTCCCGTGGCTAGTGGAAGGGGTGGCCGCCCCACGCAATGCTGGCCGAGAGGAGTGGGGCCACGAGGAAGAGCGGGCTGGGGAGCCATGGCAGGCGCGAGGCTGCGTTGCACAAGTCCTGTTGGCAGCAGCGGTGCAGCAGAGTATAGGAGCGCGCCCAGTAGGTGGCATGGCCTGGCAGGGAGCACTGGGATCTTGGGAGGCAGCCCTTCCGTTCAATGTTCTCGCCCTCATCTGGGGAACAAGGGGGAGGCTGAGGTCAGAGCGGAAGACGGCTGTGGGTGGCGGACAGGGCAGGAGGATGGGTGGAGGTGGAGGAAGGCCGTCGGCGCGGGGTCCTACCTGAGGTGCCAATACTGACAGCGCAAGCTTCATCGTCCTGACATGCCGTGGGGACTGGAAGGCAGGGTTTGGCAAAGTTGCAAGTGTAACATCGGAGCCGTGCTGGGGCTGGGGAAGGGCGGAGGCCTGGAGGGACAGAAGAAAGGGACGCCAGGGGAGAAGGGAGCCCGTTGAGGGGGAAGGCCACCTCAACCTCAAACTCATTGCCATGGTGGCTCCGTGGTCACACGTGGGGCTGCAGTTTGAAAGCACTTCTCTGGAGAAAGACGTACTAAAGAGCCGCAGTCTCCCGAACCACAGGGGCGGCTCTGCCCGTCCTATCCTTTCAGAGAGAGAGAGAGAGAGAGGAGGGCAGACAAAGAAGCGAGGGGAGAAAAGGAAGAGAGGAGCCTATGGAAAGAAAGTTGAATGAGCAGAAGCCACGGGAACAGTAAGTTGAATGAGGGGAAAAAGAAGGTGCCCCAAACAGGTGAGGAAATAGGAATTGTGGGATTGGGGGGGGTCAGGCAGGAAGAGGTCTAGCAAGGAAGCAAAAGGCAAGGACAGGTGCTAGGAGGTCCAGGCGGTCCGTCAAAGACGCAGCAAGGCAAGCGCAGCTATTCCCATATGCCTTCGAAAGAAAACGTTCCCCCCACCGTTTGCCTTGTTCCACCCCACAGGCTGATACCATTCCCAGTTCTTTCTAAAGGTCCCACAATTCTCACATCCCGCACATCAGTGCCCAGGCTCCTCCATGAGCCCCTCCCCCCAGCTCCCTGGCCCACCCTTACCCAGTGCCCCCCAGAGGTACAGGAGGCAGAAGAAGATGATGGCAGTGCCCATGGCTGGCTTTAGAGCTGAGCTCAGGAATCTGGCAGAAGGTGCTCTGCACCCTGAGAGCCTTAAGAGTCGGAGCAGGGTGCAAGACAGGGAGGGACCCGAAAACAAACACACCTAGGGAGGGCTGCCAGGGCGGGAAGAGAGCCCAGATTCACAAGAGGGAGCCGGCCTGACACAGCAGCGGGGGGGCCCCTGCCTCGCTCCCAGACACCCCATAGTTCTCACCATCTTCCCACCCCCTCCTCTAGTCCGCCCAGCCCGGAGGGGCTTCTCTGTTTCCTCCATGTGTGTGTGTGCACGTCTCCCTTACTCTCAGCTGTCGGTCCCTCCTGGGGCGCGTCTGCCACCTTCCCTTCTGCTTCTCCCCCTCCCTCCCAGCCTCCCTCCCCTTGTCTCAGGCTGCTCAGCTCCAAGGAGCGCTCTTGTATCCCAAGGTTACCCTTGTAAGCAGCCTTGGCCCAGATTGGAGGGAAATGTGAGAGAGGTGTCAAGGACATGGGGGGTGGGGGGGCCCTCTCCTACATAAAGCCCAGCTGGGTGAGAGGGTCCCCACCCAGCTACACATCCCTTTGATTCCTGAAGCCCCAATGTTCCTACCCCATAATTATCCCTCCCGGCGTTACTACCTGGGAGGACAGACTTAATCACGCAGGGAGGGACCAACCGGAAGGACCAGCATGTTTCCCTTGGTGGGCAGGCACTGTGGTGGTCAGAGAGACTGGAGGGAAGTCCTGGGTCCTTTAGGAGTGTAGGGTCCTCTTGGGAGGAGGGAGGTGGGATTCAGGAGGAGGGGGATGGGTGTGCCAGCAGCTGCAAGGTTGTGGTTGAGAGTTTGGAGAGGAGAGAGGAGCTGAGCCAGGCCCCTGGCAGGAGGGTTCAAACTGCACAGAGGCCAGGTGGGACTGGGAGACAGACGCGCTGACAGAGCAACAACGTAAAGAAAGTGCTTTTGTCTCAGAAAATGGCAAACACAATTTTTTTTTGCCGGGGGATGGCAGAGGGATGGGTGGTGTGCAGTCTCACAACCTCTCTACACGCTTAAACATCACAGAAGACCGCCCAGAACTTCGCTGCCTTTGGGCTATACTGATGGGCACTAGACTAGAAATGAGAACAGAAGAAATGTACTGTATATCCTCGTGTAGAAGCCGAGTTTTTCAGCACATTTTTAATGCAGTGTTTGTGGTCTAATTAGGTGCCCGGGCTGATAGTCCGGTCGGCTTATACTCGGGTATATACGGTAAATAGTTGACAGACCCTAATAAGATGCCGGATTTGCAAGGGCAAAGCCAACAGTATAGAGCAAAAAGCCGCTGTTTGACACCTGCACAAACCCATTTAGGGTCGGGGTCCATGAAAGAGGGGCGGGTTTTCCCATCTCTGCTTCTGTAGGCCTTGGGCTGGGAGATGTTGACAGCTTTGGCCGAAGTACATGACACAAGAAATCTGACCTCACACAAATGCGTAGTTGGGAAAGGAAGACGCCGGAGATTCATTCCTTCCGAAGGGTTTGAGAGACTTCCAGGGGCTCTTGGGGGTGGGGGCTGGTGACACAGTGGGTTAAGGATTAGGCTGCTGCCCTGAAGATCCTTGGTTGGAACTCACCAACTGCCTCTCCGGAGGAAGAGAAGGCTGGCTGCTTCTGTACAATGCACAGCCTCCCACCCCTCCCGGAGCAGTTTCAGGGAGCAGAAGAGCAGCTCTGGAGTCATTGAGTGGGAATGGGTCACTCCGCAGAGGGTGGGGGCCCTGGGAGGCCCCTGAGCAGCAGGCAAATGGTTTGCACTTAGGTGTTAACTGAAAGGGTGGGTGAGCCCGCTTCTGTAGGGGTTAAGGTCAAAACCTCACCTCACAGGGAACCCAAGCAGGGCACATAGGGTCACCAGGAGTCAGAACTGCTGGAGGCAACAAGGTCATGGGATAGGGGTCCTTGGCTCATGGCTTCAGATTGACCGCTGAGGATGGAGGAAATTGGGGGTTCCTGAAGACCTCAAAAGGTTTTCTTCTGGGTGGGTCCTTCCCCCTCTGTCCCCTTGATGCTCAGCCCCAGGGCTGAGACACAACTCCTCCTCGGCTAACCTTTTTATTGCCCTATAAAGCCCAAGGCAAGGGGGATATATAAGGCTGCCAGAGCTGAGCCCAGGCTGGGATGGGGAAGGGAGAGGTGCTGCCAACAGGATGAGCCCCCACCTGGTAGTGATCCTGCTGGGCACCCTGCTGGGGACTGCCTTGGGTAAGGAGGAGGCCTGGCACCTCTCACCCAGCCCATCTCTCCTCTGCTCTGCCAGCTGGCTCCCCTCAGGGTCCCAGCGCCCCCATCCAGCGCCTCCTCTCTCCTTTCAGGAAACCAAATTCGATGTTTCCACTGCGAAAGCCCTGGGAGAAGCTCCTGCAGAGACGGAGCTGCAGGGACCACCCAGGGGACCGCCAGTGGTGAGGCCGGATGCGGTGGCTCCCCCTTGGGGCAGATGAAGCTTCCCCAGAACTGTGAGTCCTCAGTCTTGCCCCCTCCCTCCTTTCCCTCCATCCCTCTGGTTTTCAAGTCTGGCTCTGGCAGATGGAGACACTGTCAGAGGAGGGCAGCCTGTCAGTCCCTTCTGGCTCCTGGCACTGAGCACCACCACCCGCCTCCAAGCCCAGGGTCTTGGTATCCCAGCTCTCGCCTGGAAAATACCTCATCAGTCCATTCACTGGTCACTGCAAAAGCTCTCTCTCTCTCTCTCTCTCTCTCTCTCTCTCTCTCTCTCTCTTAAAGCTCTATCTCTTGAAGGCAGAGGCCAAACGGTTAAACCAAACTTCAACTTTTCAGGCATCATCTAAGGATGAGGGTGGTATACATGTTTCATTTTGAAATAATCTTAGGTGGACAGAAAGTTGCAAGAAATAATGCAGAGCTCCTATGACTCGTGGTCATCGACTCGTAGTGACCCTAGAGGGCAGGACAGAACTGTCCCTGAGTTTCCCAGACTGGAAGTGTTTACAGGATTAGAAAGCCCTGTCTTTCTCCCAGGGAGAGCCTGGTGGCTTTGAACTGCCGACCTGGCAGATCACAGCCCAGGGTGTAACCACGATACCACCAGAGCTCTTATGGCGTTCAACCATCTTCCCCTAATATTAACCTCTCATGTAACCAAGACTGCTGCTGATTCCGGCTCACATGGCCCCCCGTGGCAGGGCAGACCTGCCCCATAGGGTTTCCAAAGGCTGTATAGTCTTCATGGTGGCATCCTCCACCTCCCTCTCCAGAGGAGTGGCTGGGAGGTTCAAACTGCTGCCCTTTTGGCTAGCTTAATTGAATGCTTAATCGTCAGGCTGGTAGAACCAAACCACACCGTGTTGCTGTTGACTCGATTCCAGCTCGTCGCAGCTCTGGCGTGCACGGGAGAACGGCTGGGCAGGGTGTTCAGTGGTTGATTTTGGGAAGGTAGAGTCCCTTGAATCGGAGTGGACTCAAACCTTCCATCTTTTGATGAGCAGCCAAGCTTGTTAACCATCTGCGCCACCCAGTGACTCCCAGTCCAAATACGGAAATCAGAAAACAACACGGGTGCAATACTACGAATTCATCTTATCCTATCTGACCAGTGATTTCATTCACGCCCAAAGTCTGCTAACTCGGAGGTCAGTGGTTTCAACCCACCGGCCACTTAGGGAGAAGAGGAGGCTGTCTGCTCCCATGAAGCTGGAGTCTCAGAGACTCCGTGGAGTGCTGTCTGGAGTGGGAATTGACTGGAAGGCAGTGGGTTTGTGGATTTCCACTCATGTCGGTTTCCTAGTGCCTGATCCCACATTGCATGTATTTATGTTTTGTTCCAACCCCCCACTTCTGACTCATGGCAACCCTACATGGGCATTCTGAGACCGGGAATCCTTACAGGATTGGGTAACTTCATTTTCCTCCTAGAGAGCGGCTGGCGGTTTGGAGGCCCCGATCTCTCGGACCCCATCCCAATGCCAGGCCCCAGCGCCACCAGCTTATCTCAGTTTCCTCCCGCCTGAGATGGTTCTCGGGCTGAGCTTGGCACTTTGGAGAGTCGTCAGATGTCATTTTAGAGAGGGCTTCTCATCAGATGTGTCTGCTATTTTCTCATGATTCGATCGAGGTCAAGCATTTGGGGGGGCAGCACGTCGCAGAAATGATATCGTGTCTGTCTCTGCATCATATTATAAAGTTCACCATGTCAGTGTTGATGTTGGGCTCTTGGCTTCAGCGGGTGTTTTTAGGGATCAGAGAATCCCTTGGGGAGGGGGCGTCCCTTCAATCATGTTGGCTCTGTCCCAGAAACCACACCTTTAAGACAGGGTCCACCAACAGTCTCTTTCTCTCCCTCAGCCTCAGTGACCGGGATCCATCGTCATCCCGCCCGCGTGGCGGCCCATCATTGCAATCAAGTGGAAACCAAGCTGGTGGGAGATGCGACTTCCACCACCGGCAAGGAAGGCTGCTCTGGAGACCCATGCAGTGGCGCTATAGGAAGCACCGTGGCCCCAGCATCCTTCTTGGCTGCCGCAGCCACTGCTGTGGCCTTGCTCTTGCCAAGACTGTGGAGAGGATAGTGGGAGGGAAGGGAGGGAGCAAAGGAGACCTGGACACCTGATGTGAGGTGGAAACATTGAGCCATTGAAATCGACCAACCATCCCACAGATGACTGGAAAGTTCCATCTATGGTTTGTTGTGGGGAGGGCTGAAGTGGTAATACAGAGGCGTCTGAGTTCTAGTTGGGGGTCACCTAACCTCGGTGGACTTTATGATAGTGCTGCACAACTAGACCCCAGTTGACCATGTCAAGTCTACTGGAAGTCACGCCTTCATCCTGCCGCCATCTTGTTGCTGGGGGCCATTTTCCTCAGCAACAGGGATCTGTGAAGGAGCAGCTTCTGGACTCTGGACACGATGAGACTCCTTGAGCCTGGCTCTCTGTGCTTCTCCTCTTGCCTTCTTGCCCCATTCACAACCGCCCGCTAGTAGGCCTATCTTGAATTGAGACTAGAAGGGTGAGTCCTATGATAGGAGACTTGGGTGGTGTCCACTTAATAACCAGGTCAAGCAGAGGCTTCTGGCTTTAACCTGCCGGCCTAGTGCCTGGGAAGAGGGTCCTGGGCCCCATCTCCTTCTGACTCTCCTACATGTTCTGGGGAGCCTTCGAGCCAGGCCCCACGCACTTCCTTCCTGGCAGCACACCAAAGGCGTGGCCTAAGTCTGGGATAAGGATTGTTTCTCCAAACACTGGAGCCTGCGTGGGCTTCCCCCTGTGAGCTGGAAGGGAAGCTGGAAGCCTACAGAGCCTGTTCCTCCAGCTGCCCAGCCTCGCTGGGAAATGCCCTGAAGGATTCTGGGATGAGCGAGGAACTCGGAGGACTGTAATGGGGATTGAGTTCTTCACTGGGAGGGTACCTGACAGTTAGGTCGACCGACAATAAATGCACCAATGACCAGACACAGATGTTTATTACGCAAACTGGAAAGAGGTGAGTGTGGGGCTGGGCTACATCAGAGGAGGCAGGGTGTGGATGAGGTCATCGAGCCCTTCCTGTGAGCCTTTCTTGGGAGCAAGACAGAAGCTGCAACTCAGCTCTCACTGGTGGGGTGGGGTAGGGTACCAGAAGCAGAGAGGGGAGCCTTTCAAGAGGATATTGAGGATCTGGAGTGGTCCAGATGGAAATGGGAACCAACAATAACAACAATAACAAACAAACAAGAATTCGGACTCCCAGTGACCAGGGGTTTCTGAGACGGTAAATCCTTAGGGGTTTCTGAGACGGTTAATCCTTAGGGGCGTAAACTGTTTCATCTTCCTCCCTGCAGCGGCTAAAGGGTTTGAACCGCCAACCTTGTGATTAGCTGCCCAACGCTTAGCCCACTGTGCCACCAGGGGTCCTTGGAAATGGGCAAACCAAAACAACAAACCAAAAACTAAACCCACTGCCATTGAGTCAAAGCTGACCCTAGGAGCCCCTGGGCAGGACGGAGCACAAGTACTGCTGGGGGTTCTGAGACTCAGCCTTTCTGGGAGCGGACAGCCTCATCTTTCCCCCATGGAGGTGCTGGCAGGTTTGAACCGCCGACCTTTTGGTTGACTGCCCAGGGCTCAGCCCACTATAACACCAGGGGAAATAGGAAGGAACCGAATCAATTCAGTGTGCAGGTGTATGGTAAGGAGGCAGCTAGAAAGTCCACTCTGCTATGATCTAACAGAATAAGAATGGGAGACAGGCAGAGACCATTCTGGGCAGCCGGGAAGAGTGGGAATCCAGGAAGGGAGGCTCGGGCTGAGGCAGGCGGGCATGAGGAGGGGCTGCCAGCAAAGCCGTCTCAGTGCAGCAGCCAGAGGCCAAGGCCAGCCAGGGAGGTGAAGAGGACGAGGGTCAGGCCCGGGGCGGGCCGGGGGGCCGGGCTGTTGCAGTTGTCCTTTGTGCAGCAGGTGGTGTTGTAGGTCAGGCCCAGTTTGCGGCTGGTTTGGTTGAAGGCCTCGCGGCACGGTTCTTCCGGTGTGCCACAGCGCAGGTTGGAGAAAACCCACATCTTACCTGCGGATGGGAAGGGAAAGGGGGTCACCTGGCGGGCCACTGTCTCCCTCACCACCCATTATGCCCCACCAGGCTTCCTTTCTTCTCGGCCCTGCCCTTGACCCCCTCCGTCTGAACTCCCTTCTGCACTTTCTTACCCTCTCTGTCTGCCTGCTGATCCTGATCCCATCCCGTGCCAGCTCTGGCAAGGAGGCCGGGGTGGGGGTGGGGGTGGCGGTAACCATCTCTTTGTGAGGTTCTATCTCTTCAGAATAGCCATAGCACCCCCACCATCCCCCACCCACCCACCCACCGCCACCCCGCATCGTTGGGTTGTTCTGAACATGTAGTGGACCAATCCAGGTGAAGACTTAGAGCAGTACTTAGTACATAAATAGTACTTGGCCCAATAACATCTCTGGAATCTCTGCTCCATTTTAGCCTCTATCCTAGTTAGGGTTCAGCCCCTTCCACGAAGTCACGGGCCTGCACCCCCCACCCCCAGGCCCCCCTGAAGAAGGCACCATTACCGAGGTACACATTCGTTGTCAGGCATTGCTGGTTTGGCTCCAGGCGACAGGACTGCCGGTCCACGCAGCCCAGCACTGGGACCTTGTAGCAGGAGTGACAGCGAATGTCAGCTGGGGAGACATAAGTTGGGCCGAGAAGTTGGGGTATCTGGCCGGCTCACCCAGGGGCAGCCAAGATGGAGGGAGAAGGAGGGCCAATCAGGTAAGCCCTGGACTTGTTGAGACTAGTTGGACAGAGAAGGTGAGTGATGCGGCAAAAATGGGAAGTGGGCGGCAGGGGAGGGTGGAGTTGTTGTTTTGTGAGAGGCACACACCCTACAGGTTTTCCTTCCAGCCATGCCACTTGGGACTGAATCAAAGGGGGCTGGGCTTCCAGCACAAACTTGGGAATACCGCCCGGAAGGGCTGAGGGAAGGCAAGACAGAAGAGGAATTCAGAAGTGGTCCTGACACAGATTTGAACTGGAAGGAAACGCTATTAAAAATATATAACCTATGCGACAGTCACGGGGGTTACACACATTGGCAACAATGTCTGTGAACTTGAGGCTAAGAGATCATCTGTAGGTAGGTAGCTTTTGAAACTCACTCTGCACCTGCGGGGGGCTGCCAAGAGCGTAGGAAGAGCCACACCTGAGAGAGAGCCTCTCACCCCAAAAGCCCTCTAGCAGAAAGGAAGGCTCTCTGGGAAAGGTCTGGCCTGGTTCCACCCTAGCACCTTACTATAGTGAAGAGGACAGAGGCAGAAGGGGTGCTTCCCCCAACGTCCCCACCTCTGCTAAGCCAAGGTTTGGGCTCATAAGGTTTTGGAAAGGGAGGATGGAGCAGCCTGGAGAATGAGTCTCAGTGAAGCCCATCTTTCCTTGGGTGTGAGCAAGCCCTGGAACCTTCCCCTCCACCCCCTACACACACACACACACACACACACACACACACACACACTCCCAAGCCTCCTAAAATTTCTCTGGCTTCTGGAGAAGTTCTTTTTTTTTTTTCTGGAGAAGTTCTAAAAGGTTAATTGGGAAGAGAACAACCCAGAAGATATGTCCTGGTACGGAAAGGGGGTGTATGTGGCCCAAGAAGGAGCAAGGGGGACTGGGAAAAATCTCAGCTGAGGGACACGGAGCACTTAGCCCCTCTAAGGGAGGGGGGGAGGGTAGACACAAAGGGACACTCGCTAAACACTGGCTTTCTGAGAGGGCACCTTGCTGAGCACAGGGAAACAAGGAAGAGGCCAGTGAGCTGGATCCTGGGCAGCTGGGTATTGGAGTAAGGGTTGGGACGGGAATTGGATGTCAGAGATTCTGAGGAGAGGGCTGCTTGGGGTGGGGACAGAGGCCTGGAGCTCTAGCAGGTGAGAAGAGCCGGTCTGGGTCTTGGAGGCAGGAAGGAGTCTGAGCAGGGAGGACCGGGAGCCTGAGAAGTGGTAGGGAGGCCTGGTCTGGGTGGCCCAGGAGCGCTGAACCAGTTGGGGCTGGGGTGTCTCGGATCCTGGGAGTGGGCAGAGTAGGGCAGTGGGTGGGGCAAGTTGAACCCGGTCCTTGCCTCCCCAGATGCTCACCTGAGACCCAGCAGAACACAGCAGACAGGGTGATCAGTGACAGGCCTTTCATGGTGAGGGTCCTGAGAATGGTCACAGCTACAGCAGCTGACAGCTTCAGGGCTGCGCTCAGGGAGTTGAGTGGCCTTTTGTGAATTTATATTCCTGAAGGCCCCTCCCTTCCCTACTGCTATAGCCCCTCCCTCCATCTCCCTCCATTTAGGTGCAGCTGCAGTTCCAGAGGGAAAAAGGAGGGGTGGGGAGAGCTGAGCAGGCTTAGTTGGGTAAGGAGGAGAGAGCAGTAAGAGAAAGCAGGGGTGTCCATCCACGTTCATTCCTGGTCTCAAGCCAAGGTGCCCCTCCTGGTTGTCACCTGTCTGTCCAGTCCTCTGAATCAGCCAACAGAAGTCATTGCGATGTCCCGAAATGACCACCATGGGAGCTTCTGCTGATTCCTGGGAAGCGGGCAGTGGGGCAGTCTACGGTGACTGTCACATGTACCTCCTGTCACATGGTCCCTGGAGGGCACTGGAGGGTGCAAACTGAAGATGGGAGGGGTCAAGTGGCTCTTCATTCTGCTCCTCTTGATCTTCCCAACGCTTCTGCAGCCCCAGGACGAAGCAGTGGCATTTGTGAGTTCACCAAGGATCTCTAGCAGCAGAAGCGTGGGATCCACCGCCCACCTGCTAAGGTGGGGCTGCCTCAGGCTCCTCAGAGGTTCTAAGACTCCACTTGGTCTGACTTCACCTCAGTCAGTTGGCTCTAAGGAGAGCTGCAGCGCTCTCGGTGGGGTGTGTTCACCTCCAAACCATGCCGCGCCCAGCCAAAGCCCGCTGGCTTGGGTGGGGCACAGCAGCTGGGCGGGCAGCTTGGCCAGGGAGTGATGAGGTAGAAGCTTAAGTAAGAGCCCAACTCTAAGCTCATTGCCATCCAGTTGATATTGACCCTCCTGAACAGGGCAGAACTGCCTCTGGAGAATTACCTTTAAAGGAGTAGAAAGCACTTTCTACTTTCTCCCCAAGAGCGGGCTAGCGGTTTTGAACTGCTGACCTTGTGATTAACAGTCCTCCTCATAGCCCACGACACCACCAGGGTGCCTGTAAAATAAGAATGATAGTAATGGACTTGGGTGGTTGACTAACAGCTAACACACTCCCTTGTTAACCCAAAGGTTGGAGGTTCTAGTGTACCCAGAGGCACTTCAGAAGAGGTGGTGGTGTGTTTCCAAAAACAAATTAGCCATTGGAGACCCTAAGGAAGATGGTGCTCTGATAGACTGGGTCCCCTCCCACCACCACCTGGATGGCCATTGGCCGAATGACAACCAGTTCAGCCACCCTCCTGCATCGGTCAGTCATTGTTCCAAGTGGGTTCCACATAGCTGTTATTTAGTTCTCACAACAACAGCCGGCTGTCTGCTTGCTACACGAGACAGCAGGCCCAAGGAGACTTGTGGAGGGGCAGACTTGAACTCAGGCAACCAGGCCCCAGAACTCATGGGTACTCATGGAAACCCACTGCTAAGCATTCCAACAAGATTGTGTAAAAGGCCAGCACACTGAGGGCCCTGAGTGGACCTGTAAGGATCCCATTCGAGCTGCTGCCTCCCACCCTCGCAGCCTCCCACCCTCGCACCCTCCCACCCAGCTCTTATCTGAGCCCCCTTCCCCCTGCTTCCCTCCGGTTTCTCCGCTGAGTCACTCTCCCTGCCCCCCACCCCACCCCATCCCAACCATGGCTCTGGTCCTGCAGCTGCTGCTGCTCTCTGGAGCTCAGGGGGACCCAGTGGGTAAGTGCTGTCTGGGGAGAGAGGGGTGAGCCAGGCTGGGGGGCAAGAGAAGAGCCCGAAGGACGCCAGGGGTACACCCTTGAGAGAGGATACCGAGAGGGGGGTCATAGGGCTGCCTCTAACTTCCCTAACCACCTCCCCCAGGCTCTGCTGTCTCAGCGTCCGTGGAGGGCCATTCTGGGGAGCTGGTGAATATCTCCTGCGTAGGAATCTCGAACCCCATCCGCTGGGCCTGGGCACCTAGCTTCCCGGCCTGTAAGGGCTTGTCCAAAGGACGCCGTCGGATCCTCTCGGCTTCATTGAGCAGCGGCCCCACGGCGCCGGCTGCGCAGCCCTTCGCAGGCCGTCTGCGCACCCTGGGCCCTGGCATCGGGCGGCTGCAGCTGCTCCTGAGCGCGGGGGACTCCGGCACCTTTTACTGCAAGGGCGGCGGAAAGGAGAGCGGGACCGCGGTCCGCGTGCTGGAGGACAGGGCCGATTGCAGGCCCCCGGAGGCTCCGCGGGGTACGTTGGGTTTTGGGAGGGGAGAGCGACTTGGTCTTGGCACCTGTGACGTGGGCACCCCACCTCTTCCCTGCAGCGCTCATGAACCCCCAGCTTCTGATCCTGCTCTTGAGCGTCGGGCCCGCCCTGGGACTAGGGGTGCTGGTCTTCGCCTGGTGGCTGCACAGGTGAGCTGTGGGTGTGCCTAGAGGCGGGATCAGAACCCGGAGGGGCGGGAGCAGAGTCTTGGCAGCCGCAAGATTGACAGCTGGAACCCTGAGGGGTAGTTTGGAGGTCAGAACTTGGGGGTGAGGCCACAGGTCTGGTGGGTGGCCCCTAGTGAGGGGCGCGGGGGTGGGGTGGGTGGAGGCGCAGTTTGCAGAGTGGACGGGGCTGTTTGGTTGGGTGGCGCCTACTAGTTTCTGTGTGTCCGAGGGCCAGTGGCCAGGTGGTCTGTGCTGGAGACCGGAGCCCTGGAGAAGGGGCTGACCAGAAAGGTGGCTCTTGGAAGACTTGTCAATTCCCCTTTCAGGCGCTCCCTGCGGCACCAACTTGGACCACTCTCCAGATTTGGTGAGACTAATTCCAACCCCATTTCCTTACCTGCACATCACACCCCTCAGCGCCCAGGTCTGAGCCCCAGCTGGGAGCAGACAAGTCAGTCATCCTCTCTCCCTCAGCTCTGCCCTCCTCACAAAGTGAGAGCCCAGCTGCCGCCGAGACCAAGGCCAGTAATGGAGGAGCCCAAGCCCCCAGCCCAGGAGGACGGGGAGCAGGTGAGGGCCTGAAGATGGGAGTGGGTAGGGATGCCGGTGGCCAGGATCCCTGAAGGAAGAGGCCTGGACCCACCCTGCCTCCCTCCTCACCCTTCAGAGCCTGCTGTATGCCAACTTGGACCAGATGGCCCTGAGAAACCCCCGCCGCCTGACCCTAGAGGTCCCTGCTGATGCTTCCACCACTGTTTATACAGTTGTCATTTGAAGGAAAACCCTGACCCCCAAACCTCACAATCTGAGGCTCACGGCCCTCCACGGCTGGCTCTCCTGCGCTAGGCCCCCCCCCACTCCCCCACCTGAACGCTAGCCCCCCACCTGAACACGGCAGGCACCATGGGATGGAAATGAGTAGCAGACGGACTGGGTGGTCCCAGGTTGTCCTTGCCACGGATCTGTCCCTTGCTTACGCCAACCGTCATCACCGGCGCCCACCTTCAATGGCTAAACCTGATGAAGCCCTGCCTCTTGGCCTGAAGACATCGATGACTCCCAGAGTTTCCTGCCGGCTTCCTTTCACAGCCAAGCTTGGCGAGCCAGCTTGCCCTACCCCTGCGTCTCCCATTCCCCCTCACTGTGCCTCCCTCTGCCCGGCTTCTGGCACTGCCATCCTCTCCCTAAGGCACCAGTGACGGGTGTCCGGGATGGGAAACGCTCTTAGGGCTCATCCGTTTGGCCTTCCCTGAACCTTTCCTTCGCTACCTGTGACTTCCTTCTGCACTTCTCTCCCCGTCTCCCCCACCCACAGCATTCCCAGCCGCCATGTGGTTTCTCCCTCTCTTTCCTCCCCGGCTCTCTCTTCAGCGAAGCTCTCCTTCACAACCAGGCATCTAGCCTCCAGCTCGTTGACTAACTCCCACTTCTCTCTCGAGCTCCCATCTCAGGGCGGGAATTTCCACAACTGTCCCTGGGACATCCCTTGCCTGGCTGGCCCCTGGTGTCTTACACACAGCATGTCCATGGTCAATGCCTCTGGATTCTCGCTTGCTACGTTCCGCTTCCCAGGTCCGTCCAGCAGACTTCTTCTACCCTCACACAACAAGCCGCCAAGTCCTGTTTTTAATCTTCTTACTACTGTCAAATCCACAGCCGAGCTGCTGCCTGAACGCGCTTTCCTCAGCCCCCCACCCCCACGGCAGTCCTTCTATCTTCTCTAGACTAGTCCTCCTCCTTGCAGCCAGAGATCCTACCCCGCTAAGCTAACCTGTTCCCATCTGATGCCCTTCCTTCTGCAAGTGCTGTATTTTTCTTCGTAGCCTTCAGCTCTGAGCTCAGGCTTTGAGGACAAGGAGTCCGATAGGACTGTCCCCTCCCTGGACTCACCCCATGTCACCATTCTACATGCATTCAACATGCCAGCCTTGGAGAAATTCTCCCCAGCTCTCCAAAATGCCTTTGCCCAGGCAATGCCTTCTTCCCACCGTACTTTTCCTCCTCCTTCCCACTACTTGCTTAATTCTTACTCATCTTCAGGACTCGGTTCAAATGTAACCTTTTCTGGGAAGCCTGTTATGACCCTCCTCACTCTACCCCTTCCCACTCTCCTGCCTCCAGGACCCACACTCACAGCAATAGCTTCCTGTGGCTTGTGTTCCATTACAACCTGCACTTCAGCTTGCAACTGAATTCCCTGCCACCAGGAGACTGACCCTTGTCAAGTCACTGCCTAGGCATGCCTCAATAAACAGTCAATGAGTGACTGTCCCTGGGTGCATTCTGTTTTCCCCTCTGTCAATCAGGGTGGACCGACAATCCGTCCTTTTCGAAGTCATCACACATTGAGATCTTTCCAGAGAGTGACCCGCCCATGCTCTCCCTTCTCTGACATACTCCTGACAGTAGAAGTTCTGTCTGTCCATCTGGCACCCAAGCACTTCTGACCAGGTTGGGCAGTGAGTAGGTTCCTAAGGAGGGTTTGATGAATGAAAGGCCTCTGTCCCAGCACTGGCCCCACCCTCAGGTTTCAGCCCTGCCCCTGTCCCTCTGGCCCAGTAAGACAGCAGCCACAGCCCAGTCTAAAAGGTCAGTTCTAGTTTATTGGTTTTGGGGGCGAGGACTCACCCAGTGGCCCCAGTCTTTGTTCTCACACTATGCCCTCCCCCCACTACTACCTACTCACCATCTCGGCTATCTAACCTTCCTCTCCTTCTATTCCCTCCGCTCCCCTACCCCCAGCCAGCCAGCCAGGGCCTCGGACTGGCCTCAGCTGTGGGGGCGTGTGCTGAGCACCAGGCAGAGGGAGCTGAGCCCAGCGCCCACCTTCTCCAGTTCTGAGCAGGACACGGGTACCAGGGTGACATCAGTGAGCTTCTGCAGCGCCTGCAGGGAGGGTACAGTGGACGGAGGGTAAGCCTCTGAGGCCAGAGCCAGCCCCACTTCCAGGCAGCTCAGCTTGGCCCCACCCAACCTTCCAGAGCAGACGCTCCCCTAGTTCTCCATCCTCCCACCAGAAAGGCCTGAGGCTGGTGGAGATGCGATTCCCCTCACCTCTTGGCTGGTGGGCAGGTCCCCACCTCCGCGGTGCAAGAGGAATGGAGATGCCCCCGGCAACCCAGGGCGAAGAAAGAGACAATCCGCGGCAGCGTCGTCTGGGAGGGTCAGGGAGGTGTAGGGGTGATTGGTCAGTACGGCCATGGCCTGGGGTAGAGTAGATGGGGAGAAATCTTAGACCCTTAGAACCTCTGGGCAACCCGGTGGTTGGTCAGTCTGGACAACCACCCTAAGGTGGGGACAGAGTTATGTCTTGGGACTTATGATAGGTCATACTATTGGCCAGAGGGGTGCTAAGAGCTTTGGAAGCATCTGTTAATTTCTACCTCGAATTCAAGAGGCTCTGGCGATGCAATGATTAAGTCACCCAGCTGCTAAACGGAGAGGTTAGAGTTCTAACCCATCCGGGGCTTTCATATAGGCTGAAGCCTGAGAAACTATGGGGGCAGTTCTACTTCATCCTCCAATCTAGGGTCGCGATGAGTTGGAATACACTCAACCGTCCATAATAACCACTTTGAATTCACAGGAGTGCTTCCTGCCTGTACCCCTCCGTCTTCTCCCTTTCTCCAACCCCCACCCGGCAGTCCATTCTTGAAGTCCTATCTTAGATGCCACCTTTGGGGAGTTTCCTGAAACTCAGGCAGAAGATGTGAATTGCCCCTGTTCTACAGCTTCCCTGTGCTCTCTCCCCCTGGATTGTTAAATCTTGTTTACTGGCGCGTCCTTTCCCATCCTTTCCCACCCTGTGGAAAACTCCGTGAGGGTACAGGTTGGGTTTACTTCTCTAAGAGTCCCCCAGGTCCCCGCCTCTCCGACCTAAGTCACGCCCACCCACGTCGACCACGCCCACTCGCCAAGCCACGCCCTCCTCACCCTGACAGCCTTTTGGGCAGCTTCGCTGCTGCCGGCCACTACAGTTCGCGGCCCGCCCATTCCACAGAGGCTGCGCAGGTGGGAGGGACCGGAGACTGGCACAGTGGAGACAGCGAAGTCCTAGGGGGAATCAAGGAAGGGGCTTAGGGGCGTGGGAGGAGTTGGGGGTGGGGGGGAACCTCAAACAAAAGCTGCTCTCAGGCTCCCCCTGCTCTCCAGCTGGACGGAGCCAGTTCTTCACCTGGAACGTGTCTGCCACGATCTCAGCTCCTCGGTGATTGGTCCATTTGGATAGGCCTACGAAAAACTCGCGGCCTGAGCCAGGGCAGGCCGCCGAGGGGGCAGTGGGTGAGAAACAAAGCCCGAGAAAGCCCACTCTCCCACCTCGCTTCCCTGGCCCAGAACCCGACCTGCCAGCACCCGGGCTCACCTGTGAAGAGCACGTCGGTGCCATCCAGCGTCGCGTTCTCATCCCCCATCTCCACAATGCGGAGACCCAGGTCCTGAAGGGCTTTGCGGACTCCATCCACCTTGGGGCCGGACACACCTCACTCCACCATTCCTTCCCTAAACCCTGGAGCTTCGCCCACCCTCTTACCTCCCACCCTCACCCCGCCGCTCACCTCGGGCCGGCGGGCCGGGCTCCAGGGTCGCGTGATTAAGGCTGTGTCCCCTTGGATCACGGCCGTGTCACCCAGCAGCGGGCCTAGCGGCAGCGACTCCTCAGGGGGCAGTTCTAGCAGCTGCAGACCCAGTCGCTGCCTCAGTTTACCTCCCAGCACGCCGTGCTCCCTCTGAGCTTTGGCCAGGTCCAGCGCTGGGAGACCAGCCCCTGAACCCTCCCCCGACCCTAGGCTCTCCGGGACCCCTCGAATCAGGGCATGGGAGCAGCGGCCCAGCCCCTCCCCCGGTGTCCCCATCCCATCCACACGGAAGCCTCCTCTGGCGCAGGGCTGTTTGCTTCGTTTTCTCGTGTTCACCTGGCACAGAGGAGAGAGAGAAAGGGGGAAGGTGAGAAAGAAACAGGCAGAGGAGGGCATGGGGGTGGGTGAAAATGCCCCATCTTCTCTGGCCATCTCCGGGCGCCCCTCCCACTCGTCCCACCCATTTAGACCCCCGTCTTTGATCGACCCCGGGCCCTTCACCTCGCACCTGCGATAGTCCGCTGCTTTAGAGAAAGTCCTACGCACAGGACCCGGACCTTGGTCTCCCAAATACCTGTTGCCCTTGCTCTGGGGGCTTCGGGAGGCTCCTGTCCGGCGCCCCTCTTGGCAACCGCTAGGATGCGCTCACTCCCCAAAAATGCAGCGGCCCCGCCCCCTTAACCCTCCACTGCAGGACGCCAGAGGGACCAGAGGTCCAGCGAGAGAGGCACAGGGGTAATGGGACCAGGAGAGACTGCTAGGGAGGGTCAGGGCCTGGGGGGTGGAAGTCCTGGAGCCCCGAGCAAGGAAGGGAGAGAAGGGCTGAGAAGGAGGGATTCCTTAGCGCTTAAGGAGTTAAGCATCCTCTCTCCACCCCCCGTGGTCACACTGCCCCTACCACGACCCAGTGAAAACCAGACCGAGTCCCCGGAGATTGGGAGAGGTTGAAAAACGAAATCGGGGCGTGGAAACGGGGGCGTGGTTCCGGGGAGCAGAGGCCACTCTGGGTTCCAGGGGCCGGTCCCCGCTAGTCCATCTTCCCCAAAGTCCACCCGGTCAAGCTCCGCATACAAATGCTGGCCTCCCTCGCAGTCTCTGCCTGGCGCAGTCTCGGATCCAGCACTCACAAGAACCAAATTCTGGTCCCCACCCGGTCCTAGGGACCCCCTCACCCTCACCTTCGGCTCACCTCAAGCAGCCGGGATATCCCCCCTCCTGCCGTGCTGCCTTCTCAGCTCTGGCCCCTCCCTTTCGAGGGCAGAGTTGGTGAAGAGGGGAGTCCTAGTCTTCAAGCTGCGGGGATGGAAAGCTCTGCCTTTGGAGGGGTTCCCAGGGTAGGCGAGCCCCTGCACTAAGATCGGGCGGGGGGCGCGACTGTCTGGCGGCTCCCGGGCATTGTCTAAGCGGGCCGGGGCGGGGCTTTCCGGGCCACGCCCACTCCGCCCTGCTAGGCCGGGCCCATTCCAGAGACTAAGCTCCCCCCCACCTTCCAGGGCTCAGCCCCGCCCCATGAGTGTGTGGGCCCACCCAGCTCTGGCCCGCCCTAGTGGATAGGCTGCAAACATGGCCTGGACCACGGGACTGCACTAGGCGGGACCGGCACCCTACTTTCTCACACTAAAAATGGCAGCCCTACCACAACCCACCCTCTTTAATCTTCATCACCGGTCTTGGTCTTGAGTGCAAGCTCATTCACCCACCCACCCCTACTTCCGTATCACCCAGACTTCTAGCCATCTCCGTGTAAAAACACCACTAGATTTCATTCTGTATTTTATTAACGAAATACGTTGTCTTACCCACCCCACCCCTCCATTAAAATCCCATGAGGCTTCCTCTTGGGTTCCCCTCCTCTCCCTAGACAGCCTTGCACAAGTGCCCCAGGATCCCCACCCACTGCCATTTTGGAGTATGTCCATTGGTAGCTGTGTGGAAATCACCCGAGCCTTGGTGGAGAAAATGGAGGGAGGCAAATGCCACCCCCACCCCCACCCCCAGGGGCTTATTTCAGGGCTCTGGCCACTTGCTCATAGGCCAGCTCAATCTCCTCATCATCCGGACACGTGGAGGCGAATTCTTCCCGCGCATATGCATTGCGCAAGTACCGGTGCACTCCCCGCAACTGCTCGGGGATGGAGAATCCACGGTACTTCTTACAGACGACCTAGGGGTGGGAGAAGAGAGGGACCCAATGTGAGTCTTGGGTGGCCACCTTGGCTGTCACACTCGCCTGCATGATCAAATCCAGCCTTCTTATCCAGGCTTTCTAGAACCTCCTCCATCGGCCTTCTCCCATAGATTCTCATTTCCCCCTGACTCATCTGCTGTCACCTTCAGTCCTCATCCTCTTACAGTGTCTTCACTCTTCCACTCCACTGACTGAAACCCCAGCCATTGAGGACTCGTCCTTTCCAGACCACGCTATCCCACAGGGATCCCACGCTATCCCACAGTTCTACTCTGTCCTATCTGGTTGCCGTGGGTCACAATAGATCCAATGGCAGTGAGGGAGGGAGTGACTTTCTTTCCTCTTGATTTTTATTTTTTGGAAGCTATTCTTCAAATGTCCTGAGATTCTCCTTTTCAATTTCCATGGTGAGCTTGGTATCTGCTCTTTATCATTCACTTCTACTTGGGTGTGTTATCTTAGCTAGATTCCACAAATACCAGTCATCACACATCTTTGTATCTTCCAGTGCTTAATGTGCAGCAAATGATCCGATCACACTTCTGTGGCAGACTGACATTGGGCCCATGTTTCAAATCCTACACTAGATTCTTGAGGCTATAACCAGAAATCACGGGAACTAGGAGTTCTTATCTTCCACAAGAGGAAGTGGAAACTGAAGCTACCAAGGATCTGGCAGTGATATGGGGACAGAAAGAACATTCTGGAAAGTAATACCGCGATGTATTGCTTTGGGGCAATCTGTTTGCACCTTCCCTCGGCTTGTATCATGAAATGTAATCCTCTCCAGCAGTGACTGTCAAGAAGGATTGGGTAGGGTCTGTCATCGGTGGCAGTCTTTGGAAACCACCCTAAGAAGTGGTTTTCACCTTGGGAAAGCTCACGGGGTGCGGGGCGGGGGAGGGTACCTGAAAGAGCCATCCCTCCGGCCAGCCTCACCTGACCCTGAGTACCCACCTGTACAATGTGGAGCTTTGGCAACAGGTTGCAATCAGCCAGGGTGAGCTCATTGCCATCCAGAAATTTCCTCTGAGAGACGCCCTCGTCCTCAGCACTGGTCTCATCCACTTCTTCTGGGAGCGGGGATATCAAGTAATTGTCCAAAACCTTTAGGGCTTTCAGGAGGCCCTTCTCCAGATCTATGCAAGAGGAGAGTTGGCTAGAACATTGGGAACAAGCCCAAGCAAGGCCGCCCCCATGACGGCAGAGAACAATGGTGCAGTGACCCCAATATAATAACTGATGCCCATGGAGTTAGTTTTCTAAATCCCTCTAAGCATTTAACATATGAAAACTCGCTTAATGCTCACAACCACCTATGGAGGAGTACCTATTTGTTATCTTCATTTTCTAGATGTGGAAATCGATGTACAGATTGTCTGGCCCAAGCTAGTTGGACTTCGACTCAAGTTGTCTAGAGCTAGAGTCATGGTTCCTAATTAAGCACAACCCCATTCTGCCAGAAAGCAGTCAACCCCCCACCCCCCTCCCCACCACCAGGGTGGGGCACAAGGGGCCAGGAAACAAACAGGAGAGGTTTAAAACTCATGGCCAGTGAGAACACAGGGGGGCATGAATATGAGGGTGAGCAAAACTAAAAGAGGGGAGGATGTTTGCTAATAACACCTCCCTGATAGTTTGATATCCGAACTTCCAGATGTCCCTATTGCCTCCCAACCTCTTGGGTTTCCCCCATTCCTCTTAGGGTCCAGGTCTCTGACCCACACACAGGACTTACTATCATTGAGCGCTGGGTTTGAATTCTTGATGTAGGCAGAAAATTTGGCAAATACGTCCAGCCCAGCTGTGTTGGACTCAGGGTTCAGTGCTGCCAGCTTGGGGTACCTGAGAGTCAATGGGAGAAACAGAGTAAGGTATCTTTCTAGAGGGGAGCCTCGGCTCACCTGCCCTAGGTCCCCAACACTATGTCTTCACTTTCTTCACCCTCTGCTTTTTCGTGGACTCTCCCAGCTCCCTCCCTTCCCCTTGGCCGAGTGCCCTGATACCTGGGAGGGCATAGCACAGCCTCCAAAAATTCTTCAATCTTGTTGGTGTCTGTGTGCACTTCTGTGCCATACAGCAGGAATGGGAGCTGTCCTCCTGGGCACAGCTTCTGGACTGTCTCCGTTCGCCTGGAGGAGGAAGGCAGGCATCAGGACAGGAAAAGGGGGCAGGGAGAGGGGCGCTGCAGGGCTGTGGGAAGATCAAGAGGCTCTGGGTAGATAGAAGGACAGGGTGGGTAGATGGGTGGGGCGGGTATTTGTAAGTGCGAGGAACGTTTAAAGGAACAGAAGTGGGCCCACCTCTTGGTGTCAACGGTAGTGACGTTGAAGGTGACTCCCTTGAGCCAGAGCACCATGAAGAGTCTCTGGGAGAAGGGGCAGTTCCCAATCTTGGCCCCATCACTGCCAGCCTGAAAAGCAGCCCCACCCTGAGGTTAGGCCAGGGATACCTCATCCTCTCCCCAGGACACTCTCTGCACCTCCTGCTCCCAGACCCCGCTGTTTCTGCCTAGTCACAACCACAGGATGGCTGCCCAGGCCGCCCCACCGCGAGGCGCTCTCCCCGGAACTCAGTTCTCCCCACTCGAGCTGGGCCAAGAGGCAGATTTTCCACAGAGGCAGGTTTCAGAGAGTTGAGGGCAGGTAGGAGGAGGTAGGCAGAGGGTCTCGGTCTTACAGAACTTGAACCCAGAGAGGAAAGGGGCTTGGGACTTCAGTGAGGACAGAGTCGCGGCTAGAGTCCCAGATTCCCAGTCTCAGAATGGAGAAGGTGTCCAGGGCAGGAACTCGCATGGAGTGGAGGCTTGAAGTCAGAGCTCTGATTCCTTACTTCTCCCCCCAAGCTATTTCTGGGTGGGGAATCAAGGGGTCCTCCTGAGGCCTTGCTGGGGCTTGGGGGCTCCTTTCTAATCGGCATGTGGTGACCTCATTCCCCCAGGGACACCTCCCCCTAGGCAGCGGGTGATTCATCTCTCAGTGTCTCAGGCCTTAGCAGCTTCCTTCCTGGCAAGGAAGTGGGGGGCAGGGACCAGGGAGACTTTGGCTTGGGTAGCTAAGGCCTCCTCCCTCTTCCCACCAACCCTCCAGGGGTCTCCCAGCACCAGGAATTTAGTCCTCTGACTCTAGATAATCCTCCTGTCCTCCAGCAGGACACAGGCCCAGGACCTCTGTGGTACTGCCTCACCCAGGAGTAAAAATAGCCCCTGAGGGCGCAGTGTGAGAGTGAGGTGGGGACCACACCTAAGAGGGCTGGACCCATGCTCTCCACTCCACTGGGCGCAGGGGGTGAGGGAATGGCTGCCTGAGAAACCCATGCACACAAAGAGACTCACTGAGGGGCCAAGTGGCCAGAGAGGAGGCAGGAAGGGGAGGGGTGGGAGCATTCACAGACAGGCAGGCACAGAGGGAGAGAGGGCACCACAGAGAGGCAGAGAGGGGCATGGAGACCAAGTCCTAAGACTAGGAAACGCAGGCCCAACAGGGGTGTGAAGAGGAGCCGCTCTGAGAAAGCAGGGCAGAAATCAGGAAGGCTACCTCCTGGGGTTTGATACCCAAATGCCAGGGCACCTTTCTTAACTCACATCCACTGAAATGGGGAGTCAGGGACAAGGCTTTTTCTCTTGCTTCTAACCCCCAACCTCCTAAAGGCACCCCCGGGCCTTCCGATTTTTCCCTCCCCAGTATCCTGGGAGCTGTAGCTCAACCCATCTTTGCAGCTTCCCTTTGTCAGCTTCTCCCAAGCCATTCTTCCAGTCCTTGTGCTTCAATTGGCTCCCCTCTCTTTCCACCCATCTCCCAGTTCTTTCCAATGGACGACCTCCCACCCACAGGCCTCCCACAACACACACCCAGAGCCTCCCCCCACCCTCTTCTCTTAGTGCACCCCACTTCCCTCTTCTCTCCTGGCCACCCCCCACTCCCAACCCGCCCCAAAGGAAACTTCTGATCTTTGGGGCCCGCGGGTCTTCACTGGTGTTCCCTTCAAACCCTGTGAGCCTCCGGTTGCCCGGTTCCCCCCCAGCCGACTGCTCTCCCCCCTCTCCCCTGCGGTCTTTCCAGCCCAGGCGCTTTCCTGAATTCCTCGCCCTCAGGCTGCGGGGAAACTTCCAACCTTGGTAAACTTTTCAGCATCCAGCCTTGGGGCCGCCCTGCTCCCACAAACGGATTGCAAACCCCCCTTGAAAGATGGCCAGTGGGGCCGGGGCGGGGTGGGGCTGAGAGTCCCAGAGGAAGGGGTCGGGAAGCTAAGGCTGGAGATGGGGAGAAGGGCCCAAGTGGCGTCCAGCAATTCGGGGGGTCGCCCCCGCAGGAGCCCGCCCTTACCTTGACGAACAGTTCGACCTGCGGTTGTTCCTCAGCCATGGTTAACACGGGGACCAGGAAGCGGGCGTCGCGGGGAGC